TGGTTTTCCACTGGCATCGGGTTCTGTGGATGATAGGTAACCCAAACTCATAACAGCACATCCATATTTTAAAGATAACATGTGCGCGTTATCATGTGAAGTTCCTTCCGGGAAAATAGCCACAGAATGTGATTGTGAAAAATGATTGTATACAGATGAGTAAACTTCAGAATGAGGTGGCGTATGTGTGTAAGAATAGGTTGTTGGAATGTTGGGAACTATTGGATAATTTGATGATCTGTGTAAAGATCTTGACGAGGATTGTCTATTGTGATAAGGATGTGTTGGGTTGGTAAGATTGTATGGGTTGGCGCATGGAGTTTGTTCAAACGTAAGCAAAGATTTTTGCTTGATTCTTGGCGGGAAGATTTATCTGTCAGAATTTGTAAATGGGTTGAAAGTTGGGATAGTAATAATGTTGATAGTAGTAGTAACACTTCTCCCCTCACGGTTTATTAGAATATTTTTTTTGTTAGTTGAAGGAGAAATTATTTATAAACTGTATAAATATATTTTTTTAGAAGGTTCACTATTTTTATGTATTATTATTTATGTTATATGTTTGTTATATATTAGAAACTATTTTATGTATTATCATCCATCATATTTTATATTCCTTCGCATCATAATTACCCTTTGTTCAAATAAAAATATTATTATTTATTTACAATTATTTTTTTTTTCCAGAAAAATTATGTGTGTGTGATTGATTATTGAAAAGATAATATTACAAATAAAGAAATACAAAAAAAATTAAAATTATATATCTATTTCTATAAATTAAAACAAATACGTGGATGTATAGAATTTTTTACAAGAATTAAAGTAATAAATAAGCAAATAAATAACCACCCTTTTCCCACATAATACTAATATTGATATATTATTTAGTCAGAACTATTATCAGGATTCACAACGTATAATTTTGATTTGGGTACAATAACCATATTAGTATGTTGAACATCAATGCCCATCATTTGCTTTTCCAAATTTTCTGAATAATCTTTATCATGTACAGGATTTGGCGCCAGATTGCCATGACTATTATTCCCCGATGGATTCATTTGAGGGGGTATTGGATTAGATGTCTGTGCTGCATAATGTGATCCAACGTAATCGTGATTTTTTCGTTTACGATAAAAGTAAAACATCAACCCGAAAATTAATGATCCAACAAATACTCCTGCTATTGAAGCACCAACTACTATGCCGGTCTTATTTGGTGGTGCAGTAGCAGATTCAGTAGGCGTAGGTGGAAGGTTTGGTGTATAGGTATCAAGCCATTTATATGATTTAGTATCTTTGAAACAAAATAATTTTTAAAGAAATGATTAAACAATCAAATAAACTAAATATTTATGTTTTTATATTTATATTTACCTAAAACATATATATTATTATCACCAAGTTCATTTGCCATATAACCTAATAAATAAATAAATAAATAAAATAAATAAATAAATCAACAAATCAATAAATAAATTAATTAATTAGATAAATTTAATTTTTAAATTTTTACCAAAAATAATCATCATGTTGGACCCAGCGATATTTGCAGAATGTGCATATCTTCCTGGTGGTGATTTACCCTGGACAGTTACGTTAATCCACGTTATTGGTGTTTGCGTTGTATCCAATACTGCAATATCATCATACAATATTGTAAAATTTATATCGACACCGCCATGTATTATAATCCTTCCATCATCGGCTATACATATAATAAAAATATAAATGTTGGTCATCTTTGATTTGATTTGGAGGGAGGGAAAAACCTTGTTAAGAAAATAACATTAATCTTTATACTTACTTCCTGCAGCTACATGTTCTCTACGAGGAGTTGGTATAGTTCCACCTGCAACCTTTATAAATAAATATATAGTAAGTAAATATGACCCTAATAATTATTTCATCAAAGTCTTATAATTTACCGTTCTATTCCATTGAGACATTATAGTATCAAAAACATAAATATCACTCATATCCACTAATGAATTACCAGAGTAACCTCCAATAACATACATTTTCCCATCTGAAAGAAGAGTAGCAGTATGATGAAATCTACCAAATGGTGTATTTAGTTGTAAATTTGTTGTACTCCATATATTCTTTATGCTGTCCAAATAATACAAATCTTGGTATTGAACTTGGCTTGTAACATCTGGATCTATTGCAGGTGCCCCACCAAAAACATAAACCATCGAATCATTGACCCTAGTCTGGATAGTATGTTCTATCCTCCTTGACGCGACCGCTATCGCAGGACTTGACCATGATTTATTTACCGTGTCGTAATAAAACAACGAATTGGCGGGTGGTGATGTGTCTGGTGATTCGCCACCATAAAGAACTAATATTCGATTATTCTCGCCGCCAAATGAAATTGCATGATATGCAACTTTTGGCCCATCATCATTACTTATTATCCAAGAAGGATTTGTTATGGGAAAAGATTTTTTCATATCAAGAAGTAAAAGTTGATTTGTTTTCCGACCAACTTTTTGTGTCGCTCCCACATTTCCTCCATAAACATATAAACTAAATAACGAGCGAGGGAATTAGATAAAGGTTTATTTATTTTTTAATTTTTATATGCATATATGCAACTTAAACTTACGTATTATCTATCAATGTTGAAGCATGACCCCATCGAGCATCAATTGCTTCAACAATTTGACATGATAAATTTATTATGAATATTCCAATAATATAAAATTTTATAACTGACGATGGTAAGTCGATGAATCCTTTATAGAATTTATGAAAATAAAACATGTGTGGGAATTGTTTAGATTTGTTTTTTGTAAAAGAAACTTTCAATATCAAAAAATTGAAATTTTTATTTTTATTTTGAACCCCTTGAGACTAACCTATATATGTAAATGAAATTTAAATTTCTATTTTTATTAGATGCATTTATTTTATAATAATGAGAAAAAAGGGATTGATTGTCTTTTGGCAAATAATTTTGAATTGTTTGTGGAAATCGATTCCCAAAATTAAAGGAAGGAGAGAAGGAGAGAAATTTTTTTAAAAAAAATTACTCATACAGTATAAATTTGGGAAATTTATTCGAGAATCCTTTCTGTCGATCAATTCATATATCATTAACGATTTTAACGTGATGCATATTAAATAAAAAATTTTAAAAAATTCCTATAGTTGAAATAAATTCCTCCGGATATATTCTCCAAGGATCACTGTAAAATTTACGGAGAAAATTTCATGTCCGAAGCCAAAGAAACGAATATAGAAAGAGACGACACAAAAAAAGGTTAATATCCGACCTCCGATCTCTGAAAATATGTATGATGCAATAGATACACAGTAAATCTCGGTTTAACGGATAGTTTGGGCAATTAGCATCAGTGTTGGAAATTCGTCGATCTTATGATCTGCAAAAAAAAATTTGTGCACATATGAACACAAGAAATTTTTATT